TCTCAGTAATTAATTTTTTTTATAATTATTTTATGTATGTACAATTGTATTTTTTTTAATATTAATGTGTCAAAAGATACAATAACAATAACAAAGGGATGTTTTAAAAAAACATACGAAATCCTAACCTCCGTGAAGCTATCTTCCGTGAAGCTCTATTATTCAAAATGTATGATTTCTTAAAATTCTTATGTTTTGTTATGTTATTACTAGACCTGGTGGCTTCCCAAAAACCCCATTCTAGACCAACAGTGAAACAACCAAAAATAAAAAACCCAACCCAACTGCATTTAAAATACGTAATTTCTGAATCTATATAGAAGCTTACGTTTTTTTATGTAATTTATTAATTATACGTAGTTTTTACGAAATTAGGGCACACAGGTAGATATAGCTTCGTTTTGTTAATTGTTTCTTACTTTTTAACCTGTAAAAACAGAAAACTTTTTTTTAATTTTAATTTTTGTTTTTTTAATTAATTTTTTGCCCAATTTACATATTTAACCATTATAATATAATATATTATCATCTATGGGTAAACAAAGTAAAAATTCTGTAATAATTACAGTTTACTTTATTGATGGGTAAAATTTTGTTGTCGCGGCCAAATTTGCATGGGTGCACGTCATCAATGGGATATAATGACGTCAGGATTACCAACCTTGAATTGTAAGGTTACTGCCGTTAAATTTGCTTTTATAAGGCGTAATTCTGATGTGTAATAAAAAAAATATCGATCATTTGCGTATTGTTTACCAATAACTGTAACAGTTTCCCTGTTTTAAAACGGTTTCTTACGAAATTATGGAAATAAAACCATTCACTTAGTAATTTTTGTGCGTGCCAGTTACTAATAGCTTTGTTCGCGGAGCTCATCCGTGATCAATCCGCGACAACTGCGCATGCGCACTGACAATTTTAGCGTTCGGGGTATAAAAATCGGCAACATTTGACATTTGATCACTCGTTCGCGGAGCCTTCGGGACCAGTTTCGAACTAATTACTGACAAGTCAAAACGATCCGAGGATTTTAGCATGTACTAGCTGTCAGACATGCGTATTGTTCATTATTGTTTAAAGTTTATTTTAGGTTATATGTTCTATATTGTTTTTAATTAAATTGTTAAACGAAAACGTAAGTTGAAATACTTATTTTTTACTTGCATTGTTCATTTCCTTGCTTATTTTATAGATGAGTGATCATCTATCATCCAGTGAAGATTTAGAAAATAGTTTAGATTTAATTGAAGTTCCTAAAAATACTGCATATTTTGAAGAAATTGTTTCCATGTTCGATGATCAGCTATTTAGGGAGCATTTTCGAGTTAGCAAAGAGATTGTTGATGATTTAGCAGAGCGATTTAGCAATTCTGAATACTATAATTATCAGGAAGGAGATTCCCCAAAAAGTTTTGTCACAAAACAGCTGACTGATGGTTGCGGTTAGAAACGCGTTCGCGGAGATTTGTTAATTCTTGATCGGTTCCGAATCGCGCATGCGTACCATGGTTCGTGATTATTTACCCTATACAGATACGGAACTAGTCATGGATGAGCTCCGCGAACAAAGCTAATAGCTGGTGCGCACCGTTTAATATTATTGATGGGTTGCCGTCATTTAATATTTAACGTTTTTTTGTAAGCATCGTTTGTTGCAGATTATTATAAATAAATTTATACATTGTGTTTATTATATTCTACCACTGGATTGTGCAAACAATGTTACAAGGCTTGTTGGTAACGTCAACAGTTATTAGATTGCGAAGACATTGCGCCCTTAATAATTAATTTGGGGAAATAATCAGACTCCAAGTCTGACCTGGTTCGCTCTGACGAGAAAGGCGACTGGTAATTTAGTATTTTTGTGTTTCTGGTAATTAACTATTTTTTTAAACACATTTAATCAAAATTTGCTCATAACAAACTCCTAATTAGTTAGTGTAGAATATTAAAACAATGATGTTATCATACCATTTTAATAAGCAGCCCCCACCACTATAAACAGTCAACAATACACGAGCGTTAGATTGTGCCTGGGCATCGCTGACGTCATATGCAGTTGAAGACGTGCACCCATGCAGATTTAATCATATTTAATACTTTTCCCGTTTTATAAAACATACGTAAACGTCAGTTTGAAAATAAGTGCTAAATTTGCCCAAATTTGTCCCTAAACTTATTGGCATAAATTTAAGATTAAGCAAGTCAAAATAAGACGAAAACCTAAATAAATATTTTTCCTAATTACTTATGTTTCCAAGATACAGGGTGATAAAGTGTTACTTATCATATCATTTTTTTTAATATAACTTCTGCTATGGTAGTCTTGGAAAGTTGATATTTTGCGAACAGTCACTTACTACCAAAACACATATTCACGCATAATTACAATTGTTTGAGTGAACACAGTGTCGTAGAAACGGGGGTTGCTTTAAGCTTATTGTCCCATACAAACTTTGAGGTTAGGTTTTTATAACATTTGATGCAATTTTTTGATTACAAAGTTCGGCTACCATTTAAAAGGTGTACCTCTCAAACTTGGAAAAAATAAACCGTTTCCGAGATATTCGAGATTACAATAATTGTTATATCGCATTATTTAAAAGGATTAAAAGGTATATGATACCAAATTTTATTTTTTAATTGAAAAAACTAAAAAGGGCCTTCCATGAGCCTCGGGACTTTTTGCCCTGACCGTCACATTAAAAAAAAATTGTAGTTTTTTCAAAATTTGTTATCATATACCTTTTAGTCCTTTAATGCGATATAACAATTATTGTAATCTCGAATATCTCGGAAACGGTTTAATTTATCGAAGTTTGAGAGGTACACCTTTTTAATAGTAGATACGCGAACTGAGTAATCGAAAAATTGCATCAAATGGTATAAAAACCTAACCTCAAAGTTTGTATGGGACAATAAACTTAAGCAACCCCTGTTTCTACGGCACTGTGTTCACTCGAACAATTGTAATTATGTGTGAATATGTGTTTTGGTAGTAAGTGACTGTTCGCAAAATATCACCTTTCCAAGTCTACCATGGTAGAAGTTTTATTAAAAAAACTGATATAATAAGTAACACTTTATCACCCTGTATCTTTTAAACATATGTAATTAGGAAAAATATTTATTTAGATTTTCGTTTCTACGGCACTGTGTTCACTCGAACAATTGTAATTATGTGTGAATATGTGTTTTGGTAGTAAGTGACTGTTCGCAAAATATCACCTTTCCAAGTCTACGATGGTAGAAGTTTTATTAAAAAAACTGATATAATAAGTAACACTTTATCACCCTCACAGTGGTCCTCGACTAGCCATGGGTTGTATGAAAATGGCGCCAAAAAATTAGTTGGGATTTTGATAGGTATATCTATAAGCATTGCAAAAATTCATCAAGTAAAACCGTAGCTGATCATTAACTTATTTTATGAATGTAACAATTTTGCATTTTTACATAGCCTTTAGATTCCTACAATTTTAAAAAAGTACTTTTTATTTTTACAGTGAAAAAATTGAAAAAAATATTGACCAAAATAAATTCACATTTAATCAATATTTGTTACAAATGTCTAGAGGAGAACTCAACAACAGCTTTCTTTAACTGGATTTGATAGCAAGGATCTTGTAAGAGATTTATTTTATATCGGTTCCAGTACTTGAGAAACTCTCTATAAATAGATTCTCCTGATTGCTCTGACCATAAACCAAGTCCACCTTCTTGAAGAAACTGCAAAGATTGAGTAATATGTTTCAAAATGACGTGCAATTTGAGAGACTTTGAAAGCCCAGCTCTCTAAAAATGAATTAGTCAAAAATGACTTATTTAATAGTTATTGGTTTTTTCACTTGTACCATGGTTAACCATGGTATCCCAAAATTCTCCCCTAGTCTTATGTAAAATTGTCCCCTGAATCCGAAAATGTCTTCAAAAATTAAAAAAGTAGAACAGTTTTTGAGATATAGTCAATTTTCCATTTAATATAGAATTGACTACATCTCAAAAACTGCTACACTTTCATAATAATATTATTTAATAGTTATTGGTTTTTTCACTTGTACCATGGTTAACCATGGTATCCCAAAATTCCCCCCCAGTCTTATGTAAAATTGTCCCCTGAATCCGAAAATGTCTTCAAAAGTTAAAAAAGTAGAACAGTTTTTGAGATATAGTCAATTTTCCATTTAATATAGAATTGACTACATCTCAAAAACTGCTATACTTACATAATTTTTGACGGTATTTTCGGATTTAGGGGACAATTTTACATAATAATTGGCTTTTAAATTTTGGGATACCATGGCGACAAGTATTGCAGATGGAAATTGAAATTGGGAACTTAGGATTCTGTAATTAAAAATTTCGACGATTTTGTATTTGCCATAATAATTTTCTGCCCACAGGCTGTTATGCTCATGGTTGCTTACAATTTCAATAGGGTTCATTTTATCATAAAAGTAACAATAAAACCGACAAAAATTATTAGATTTGTGTTTTAAGGCAAACAGTAACTGACAACCCTAGACCAAACCTAGGCTATCAACTGACAAGTTAATCAAATATTTTAGTGCCAACTTATCAATGAACCTATATGTAAACTTTTGTGACCTCCAATTATGTGCCAATTCTTTAAATTTAGTTAAAAATATGGTCAAATGTAAACATAAATAAAAGTATCACAAAAACATATTTTTATGATCAGCTATGATTTGACTTGCAGCGTTTTTGTAACCTTGATATACATGCCTACTAATATCCGAACCTATTTTTTGGCGCCATTTTCATAAAACCCATGGCTAGTCGAGGACCACTGTGCCCTGTATCTTTTAAACATATGTAATTAGGAAAAATATTTATTTAGATTTTCGTCTTAGTTTGACTTGCTTAATCTGCTCCTAAATTTATGCCACTAAGTTTAGGGACACCTTGTATATATATATATATATATATATATATGTATATATATTTAAATATATTATATTATGTTTTAAAAAACATACCTTTGAGCCACGTTTTTGTCAGTTATTTCTTGAGGTGATACTTTCCAAGGACAGTAGAGTCCGTGATGGGGCAATCGTTTAAAATCAAACTGACAACAAATTTTCGGGTCCGGTCCACACGTGTGGGGAACGTCGTAGGAATAAAAAGGCATCATGTGTGTGAACATATCCGTTTTGCCCTTTTCATCTAAAAAAGGTAACAAATTTATTTATTAATGTTTTAAGTCATTAAAGAATGGTTTCATAAAACCACTTTATATATTTTTACTCACCCCAGAGCTGTCTCCACCTAAACTCCAGCTGTTTATTTTGTGCAAGCTCTTTTTTCACAGAATAGTGCACTCTTTGTATGAGCATATTTTGCATGCCAGAAGCTTTAAGTAATGCGGGTTGCGTCAAGCTCATACCGAAAGGGTCAATGGACCAACTACTGACTGGTGTATAGTTTAATTTTTCTTGTAACCATTGGTGTCCCTCGGTTAGTTGGTTTACTATCGAAATCCAATGAGAATTTGCCTCGTCGTTCATTACCCATCCACCAGTTACTATTTCTAATTGGTTTGTTTTTATTAATCTGAAAGAAGTTGGTTCAATGAAAATTTTTTGAACTCAAATTTAAGTAAGAAATCACAAATTACAAGGTATCCCGAAAAAGGCTCACTAACCATATGTAGGATATTTTAAGTAAAAAAACATTTTTTTCAATCGAGTAGTTTTTGAGTTTTAAACTTTAAACCATATAAAACAAAAATGTAGATAATATTATACAATTATGTACTTAAATTACTAAATTTTTTCCTGAATTTGTAAAATAGGATTAAAAAAAGCAATTTCATAAAATCCCAAGTAAGTATTAAAATGTTCCTAATACTCAAAAAAAAGTAAATGACGAAAAACCATAATAATATTATATTGAATATTGAAAATTTGCACAATTTTTTGGCAAATTCTGATAAAACATTTATACAAAATGTAACGAAGAATATATCTTATGAACCTTTAACTTAAATAATTTATTTATTATATACCCTAATAGAGTGTAGATCTCATCCAGAATAACACTTTTGTCAAATATTTTTTATTTGAGCAATTCCTTGTCACTCGGCAATTTTTGTTGCGTCCGTAATAATAAAAATATAAATATAAATAAGTAAAATTGTGAGTAAAATCTACCGTAATTAAATTAATTACTTAAATAGTTACTATTGCAAACATGTTTATTATGCTTGTAACAATTAGGCTTAAGCTTATAAGCATAATAATTACGGTAGTTTTTACTCACAATTTTTTACTATTACGGACGCGACAAAAATTGTCGAGTAACGTGGAATTGCTCATACAAAAAAACAGTAATAATGTCCAAGAGCCTCAAATTTGTTAAATTTTCCTAGAAGTAGTCAAAGGTTTTCAAAAGACGTAAATATGAACAAAAATAGGAATTTTTCAAGAAATAGACCAAATGTTCAAAAAATAAACAAAAATAGTTAAGGGTAGTCAAAAGTGATGATATAATAATATATTATATGAAAAACAGAAATGCTTAAAACAATAATTATAAAAACTAAAAACCCCAAAATTTTAAAAATGCACCAATACCCTAAAGTATAATTAAAACTACTATTATTTAAAATTAAAAAAAAAAACAATCGACTCTTACAAACTTACTTTTTCACAATGTCTCTTTCTTCTTCACTCAAATCATCCCACCACATGGAAAAATACGAAATTTCAGCCCATATGAATTTCCTTCTAGAATCTTCAGGCAGTTTTACCAACATATTGTCCAAAATATGTTTAGTTTGAGTTGTATAATACTCCTCCACTGTTTTAATCCACCCAGGGTCGTTATGAGAGTGCGGGACAACAAAAACTTTTAATTTATTTTGACGGTTCCATTCTTTTTCGTCTACTTCAATTTTCCAGCCTAAAAGTGTTATAAAATATCTTTAAAAATCTGTCTATTTTTTAAACGCCTAATGACAAAATCTGTTATATTTTACCTTGTTTCCAAACTCCTCCATCTGGATTATCAAACTTCAAGCTTTTGTACATTTCAAGCATCTGTACGTTTGTCCTAGGCGCAACTTTTAACTGCATGGGACAAGTAGATTCGTACATCATCATAGAAACCGGATATTTCCGGTCAGGTTCTATGTACGGTGGTGCCCCCACCGCTTTTTCATTAGACCCATCGCGAACGACGCTCGAAGTTGATTTAAGCATTTGTTTCATAGCCAACTTTAAATCATGAACTGCATTGTTGTGGTTGTCAAGATCTTTTTGAATTTGGTTAATTTTGTCTTGAAAATGGACCCATTTGTTCTAAAAATAGCAGGATCAGCAAAATACGGCACTTTTTAGTAAGCCAATCGCCATTTTTATTGGTGATCTGATTCTTTAACTCTTTCTTACTTTTACCATTGGTTAAGAAACTCAACGGTTTAACAATATATAAGCACTAATAATGACCAGCCAAGCATTATTATAAGTACTGTAGTACTTATACTTATGTAGTAAACGCAGAGGAGTTATTTTGAGCACAAAAAGTATGAAGCATTTATAAGTTTACCATGAGTTAGGGCGGCATTTGTGTTCTATACTGTCATATTTTATTGTTAAGATGTCCAACAATGGTATTAAAACTTAATATAAAAAATACCTCTTCCATGTCCTGGCTTATAGATTTCTTGTTTGGAAAACTTAATGTTAAATCCTTGGCGGAAAACACAATAAATATAACTACAACTAAAATAAGGGAGCCAAAAATGGCCACAGCTTTCTTCAATCTCATTGTTTCGTCATTTATAAATATGTATTGTTTTTTAGATTAAAACCCTAAAATATAAATAAAATATAATAAAAATGTTTGCTTATATCTATTATAATTATTGTTATTCATTGAGATATAAGATTTACTATCTACGGATTATTTCAAATATATCTTATCAAATATTATTAAAATTATTCTAATACATTACTGTTATATTATTATAATTTTGCATTATTAAAATTAAATAACAAAGAAATTATTAGTTTAAAACTCTATAAATACTATTTAGGTAGTTTTGACAACTTTGTATTACTTTGTATAATATGTATTTGTATTAAGTGCTTTTTTAAAAACTTATTAAGCATATGAAAAATGGGTATGGTATATAACGTATTTTCACGCTAAAGGTATACAGTGCAGGGTGCATTTGAACGCCTTGAAAGAGAGTGGGGATGCACCATTCGACAAGGTGACCAACTTCTAAAAGTAAAAATCCGAGATAATTTTATTAAAATAAACATAAACTACCTACCCAGACAACATTCGTGATATTCATACGAACATCACGTCGTGATTTACACAAATTTTATTCATACTGATATCATACGGAAGTCACCGCGTAATAAATGAAAATCATACGAACGTCACGTCGTGATTTTTTATGCCAACGGTGTTTGGATATTCATTTTTGAGAAAAATTATGTTGAATCAACAGTTTTTGCGGTTAATTACATTTAATATTTTCTTGGATTTAAATTAACTATATATAGTTAATGTAAATCCAAGAAAATATTGAATGTTAAACTGTTGATTCAATTGTTAACATACATTTTCTCACAATGTACGAATGTGGCGGAAAAATAATTATCCAAACATGTCGGTGCACCGAAGGCATAAAAAATCATGTCGTGATTTTTTATGCCCGAACACCGATGGCATAAAAAATCATGTCTAGATTTTTTATGCCATTCGTGTTTGGATATTTATTTTGTGCCACATTCGAACATTGAGAGAAAAAGTATATACCTACATTAGACTGGTTCAAAAAAATTGAATATTTTTTTTTCTTCAAAGCCCGCATTGAAATATCTTCCTAGTAGTGAAAAAAGAAGCCTGTGAAAATTGTAGCTCTTAATATTAATATTTAGAGGTCGCTCATCGTGAATTTCTATTTTACGTTTAAATAACACAGGAATTCTTTTTTCTTAACTTTGAAATTTTATAACTCGTTTTTGAGTGAACATATTGGAATAAGCGGCACATATTTTTAAAGAAAATTAAACGCTCTACAAAAAATGTCTCTTATAATTTTTTCATAAATTAACTTCTTTTATAGTTATTCAAGGTTGAAATTAGACATATAATAAATTTAACGTTTTTTTTTCAATTGGTGGCATAATAATAAACCTTATCACTCATTATTGTACAGGATGGTCCAGTTTATAATACATTAATTTTAATAGGTGATAAAGCATCAAAAATAAGGTAGACTTTCATAAAAAAACATTTCTTAAAAAAAATAGTTTTCTCTTCATAACATTTAAACCACAAAATTAATTTGGGACACAATGTAATATAGTCAGTGCCTTAATAATAATGTAGATAATCAGTGCCGCAGTTACTTGGGGGGCTGCTCCCCTTTTCACCTCAGTCTTTGACGCCACTGGAAATTTTAAAATAATAAATAAATGTTTAGGTCAAGTTTTTAATTAATGGAAAAATGTTTCCTCGCAAAATTACATTTTTAGATTGTCTGTTCAATTTAAAGAGAAAAAAACACTCTGCTAAAATTTTAATTTAGGGCTTCGATTTTGAAATATTTGGGAACACACTCCAAAAAAACTGCGGCAAAAGTATTCTTGGATAAATAAATTAATTATTTAAAAAATGAAGCACTTAATCAAAATTTTACATGAGTAGTTTTTTTCTCTAAATTAAACAGATAATCTAAAAATGTGTTTATTATTAAAAAAAAATACAGTGGCGCCTAAGGTGAAAAGAGGAGCAGACCCCCAAGTAACTGCGCAACTGATGTTTTTTTAAATAATTATCCACATCATTACTAAGGCATTAACTTTATTGTGTACAAAATTTGATAAAAATTGATTAAGTGGTTTAGAAGTTATGATGGGGAAACGAGTTTTTTTTATAAACTTTGACGGAAAGCGTTTCTGCGAGGAAACATTTTTGAGCAAATATTTCAGAAACAGACCCAAATCAAAATTTTAGAGGAGTAAATTATTTCTCTAAATTAAAAACTTGACCTACAAATTTATTTAATATTTTAAAATTTTTAGTGGCGTCAAAGACTGAGGTGAAAAGGGGAGAAGTCCCCCCACATTATTATTAAGGCACTGACTATATTACATTTTGTGCTAAATCTGATAAAAATTAATGTTGTGGTTTAAAAGTTATAAAGAGAAAACTAGTTTTTTGTAATCTTTGTATTTTCCTTGGGAAACATTTTTAAGAAATGTTAATTAATGAAAGTCTACCTTCAAATTAATGTATCACAAACTGGACCGCCCTGTATAATCTTTTTTGACAATTTTATATAAATTATGTTTCTTTAAAAAAAATTATCGCTCATTCCAATATGTCCACTCAAAAAAAAGTTATAAAATTAAAAGTTAAAAAAAATTCCTGAGTTATTTAAACGTTACATTTATTATATGTCTAATTTCAACCTTGAATAACTATTAAAGGAGTGAATTTACGAAAAAATTATAAGAGACATTTTTTGTAGAACGTTCAATTTTCTTTAAAAATATATAGAGTTCATTCCAATATGTTCACTCAAAAACGAGTTATAAAATTTCAAAGTTAAGAAAAAAGAATTCCTCTGTTATTTAAACGTAAAATAGAAATTCACGATGAGCGACCTCTAAATATTAATATTAAGAGCTACAATTTTCACAGGCTTCTTTTTTTACTACTAGGAAGATATTTTAATGCGGGCTTTGAAGAAAAAAAAATATTCGATTTTTTTGAACCAGTCTAATATACATATAATATATTATACAGGGTTTTCATTTTAAAACGAACCACCTTAAATATCTTTTAAATTAAAAGAATTTTAAAAAATCCAAAAAATACGTCAAGTTATATAAGAAGGGGGAACTTCTATCACATTATTTAATTTAATCTAGTGCTCACCCCTTCGCGCCCACCCACCCCCACTTTAAAATTTCAAATGGCAACCCTCTACAAGTGACACCTCATTTTGAAGAGCATAAAATTCTCTATCCAATGGTGTGAAAAAATAGTAAATCGGATGGCTATTTAAGGATCTGGAAGATAAAATGTGTGCTGTAAATCGAAAAAAGTAGAAAGGTTTGTATATTTTTATTTTTAAATTGAATACATTTTTTACTTTATAAATTGTTCGAAATGTTCGCCGTTTTTCGCTAGACAATAGTAAAGAAGATCTTGAAATTCTTCGCGGACACGGGCTAAAGTTTGAGACGAAATACTTCTACACTCTTGTGATATCTGGTCCTTCAGTTCCTGTATACTATCAGGTGGAGTTGTGTATACTACCGTCTTTAAATGGCCCTACAGAAAAAAGTCTAGGGGAGTCAAATCAGGAGACCTTGCTGGCCATTCCATTGCACCTCTTCTACCAATCCATTTGCCGGGATACCGCTGATTTAACCACTCTCTAACTGGTAAAGCAAAATGAGCTGGAAATGTAGCATTTCTTCATTAAGAAGCATGGCCCCATTTTCATCCACTTGATTTTCTACTGAATGTACAATAAGTGGCTCAATGTAATTATCAAGCAGATCTAGATTCAACTGTCCAGTTAAATTTTCTTCAAAAAAAAGGGGGCCTATAATTTCGTTTCCCAGAATTCCCGCCCAAAAGTTGACTTTGCGTGGAAATTGAGTATTACCCTCCACATATTGATGTGGATTTTCATTATCCCAATATCTACAATTATGTTTGTTAACAAACCCATTAAGGAAAAAAGTCGATTCATCAGAAAAGCAGATATTTTCTAAAAATTTAGCATTCTCATCAATTCTTTGACACATTAATTCACAAAACTCAATTCTTCTATCGCAATCATCTTCGCAAAGTTCTTGTAGAATTTGTAATTTATATGGAAAAAATCTATTCTTCTGGAGACTTTTGGAATCGATAAATTTGGATTCGCAGCAAAAAGACCCAACACTTCAATTTGACAACCCTCATCCAGAATTCTTGGTCCAGTTCTTTTTTGGTTACATACCATTCCTGTATCTTGAAACTTACGAACCAATTCCATCACATGCTTATGACCAACGTTTTTATTCGGATGCCTCTCGTTAAATACTGGTGGTTTGACGCGCACAGCGATTTTCAGCCCCATAAAGAAAAATTATTTCAATTATTTCCTCTAAAGTGTATCCCATTTTAATGTCTTGATTTTAAACTTACTAGGAGCAATGTAGAAAATGAATTAATGATAAAAGTGCCAGTTTAAATGTTTTTAAGGACATTTTTATTACCTTTTGCACAAAAAGATACTTAAAACAATATTGTTTTTACCTTATTATTTTATCTTATCAGCACACATTTTATCTTCCAGATCCTTAAATAGCCATCCGATTTACTATTTTTTCACACCATTGGATAGAGAATTTTATGCTCTTCAAAATGAGGTGTCACTTGTAGGGGGGTGCCATTTGAAATTTTAAAGTGGGGGTGGGTGGGCGCGAGGGGGTGAGCACTAGATTAAATTAAATAATGTGATAGAAGTTCCCCCTTCTTATATAACTCGACGTATTTTTTGGATTTTTTAAAATTCTTTTAATTTAAAAGATATTTAAGGTGGTTCGTTTTAAAATGAAAACCCTGTATATACATATAATATATTATATACATATTATGTTGAATCAACGGTTTTTGTGGTTAAATATATTTATGTATACATTCAATATTTCCTTCAATTAAATTAACTATAGTTAATTAATTATTACAATACAATGTTTAAAAAAACGTTCACGTTTTGTTAAACATTGAAATATCTTTTTTAATTGAACCCGGAATACATTCGTGATATTCAAACAACGTTTTATAA